CAGCTCTGCTGCTGTGAATTCAGCCTCAGAGTCTGGGTAATCACTGAGTGACAGCAGTCTGATGAGCTCAGCCCTGAAACGGGGAGCTAGATGGTGTGGGCTCGGAGAGGTGAGTGGGGACAGAACGGGGTTTCCCGTCTTAACTCTTCTCCACTCACCAAATGGGGAGGAGGCCCCAAACGCACCTTGTCCTCAACCCCATAGCCCTTCTTTCCCTACCGGCACCCATCCTAGCCCCACCTCAGATCCCAAAACTGGGTGGGCCAGGCCGGAGCCCTGGTCCAGAGGAAGATGCTCTAACTAGGTGGAAGCGTGTGATTGGCTGCAGCTGACACACCCCTTGCACATGCTCCCTCCATCCCTGACACCCATTCAGGAGCACTAAGGCACAGGAACACCAAGTGCTCAGGACTCCATTCAGCTGCTGCCTGTGTCATGCTGGCCTGACATGGGCGAGAGCTCAAAATGCTTCCTGGAATTAGGGGTAGAAATCAGATGTCTTGAGCACCCACATTTAAATTAAATAAACAACCATCTGTTTCTTCTAGAATCCCAAAACAGAGCCAGAGCCCCGTCCCACCCTACCCTTTGGGCTAGTCCTCTACTAGAAGTCACACATGCCCTCAGTCCTATCTGTCCTCAAGAAGGGTCAGCCACAGGTCTGGACTTGGCAGAAAGCTGTGGGGAGCCCGGGCACAACATGCAGCCACTGCCCCCAGCCCAGGAGGGCACAGCTCCCACTCACTAGCACCTGGGAAGTCTTCCGGGCTGGAATCACGAGATCCGCAGAGAAAATACGGAAGAAAATGGCATAATCCCGAGAGGAAACAGCCCCTCAGAGGCAAGCCAGAGAGAAAGCAAACACTTGAAGGCCTTTGGCTGGTAACGCCCAAATTGAGCTTGGAAGGGAGGCCCCCAGGTGTGCTAGCGGCAATGCAGATTCCTGGGCAGTGAGATTCCCAGCTCATCTCCTGACTCACATCCATCTGAGGATGAGGTCTGAGAATCAGCAATTTTTGGCAATCCCCACAAGTACTCGGCATAGTTTGAGATGCCTATCTTGGGAACAACCTGTGTTCTGCCATTTACCCCACTCTCCCTACTGCCGCTGGAAGACCAGGCTTCCTGGTCAGCCACCTGTACACAGTGTCTGTAGAGCAGAGCCCAGGGCCCCCGGCAGCCTGCCCAGGCCTGCCCAGCCTCAACGCCCTGACTTGACCTGGGGTAGCCCCACCCTCCTTGAAACATTAACATCCTCAGCTACCCAACTAACTCTTGGAGGTGTTGGGAGATGAGAGTATAGTGGAGAAAGTGGTTTGAAAAGTTATAATGCCTTTCAGGTATAGTGTCTATCTAAATCCTGAGGCCAAAAAAAAAAAAAAAAAGCAGGGTCTACAGTGTCCAGGTCCTCAGACCGTACCTCAAGTGCTCTAGGAGAAAAGAAAGAAATGAACAAAATACTATCTCATCAGTCGATGTGTAGCTACAAACTGTAATACAATGGGAGGTTTCCCCTTACTGCACTGCACACCTCTAATTCATATCTACGTTCCTGGCAAGCACATGGTACCTGACAAAGAAAATCATTCAATATTCATGGGAGGGAGAGAGGGAGGGAGAGAGGGAGCAAGGGAGGAAAGGAGGGAAGGAGGAAGGGAGGGGGAAAAAGGGAGGAAGGGGGGACTGAGGGTTGGGTTCAAGGGGCATAGGTGAGGTCTAGACTGAAAGTCAAGACCCAAGAGGTCAGAGGGGGTGGGGTCTTACCTGGTGCCTCTGATAGGCTGAAAACATTTTTTCAAAGTCCTCTAGGTCCAGCACCCGAAATACCTGCATGTCATCAATCTCATTCCATACGGTGCCAGGGACACGTTCCTAAGATTCGGGGCAGATAAAAGAGCCTGTGGTTGACTCAACTCCTTCACTGTGGAGATGTCTAATGCCTCCCTAACCCCACCTGTCCCCCAGCTGCACGCTTTACAAGCCTGCAGGCTCTCAGGCCTTCAGAAAGGGACGGATTCCTCCTCCCCAATACTCTGCTCCAGGGGAGAGGCCAGAGACAGCCTCCTTCCCCTCCTTTCCATGGGAGGCCCCATGTGAGTGTGTTATAGAAATCAACCAGAGTGATGAGTGACGGATGGGCAAGTATGACAGCGTGTGAGACGCCTTCCAGAAAACCACACCAAACCAATGCTCCCAAGAGCACTTTGCACAGGGCCCACTCTCCCTAAAGGTCAGGGTTGGCTGGAGCCATTGAAGGCAATAGTGCCCACACATATTTGGGATCCTCAAATCCTGAGTGCAGACTTTATTTCCTGTATCTGAGATGGTCGTTTTCTCTCCCAGGGGTCTTCTTCCCACTTTCCCAGATTCTCAGAAGGTGGACAAATGCCAAAGGCTGGGACATCCTGGCCACTATGGTGACTGCTGAGGCCAGCAAGGCTCTGCCACAATTTCCTGTTGGTCAGATGGGGGGAGATGTCCCTTCACTTATGACTGGGATAGGCTCAGGGGTTGACATTCCAAGGTTTCTCAACTTAGGCGTTGCCCCACCTCGGTGAAGAACCCCTGCATTGAACCCCTACCCCAGGGAACTTAGGAGAAGCTGTTAGCCTCTGGGGAGGAGCTGTTAGCCAAGCCAAGATAGCCCCAGTAGTCCTGTAACACCCTGATAATGGCTTAGGNTTTTAGTTTCTAAATAGAGACTTGAGTCTCTGTCAGAGCTGATAGGGAGGAAAGGGGTCAGCGTCAATGTAGACTGAGAGGCTGGGAGGAGGGTTTCTGATCCTGCTCCTTTTCCTCATGCCTAAACTATCTGCCGCATCTCCATGGGAGGATGGGAGTATCGGCAGGCCTCGAAGGGGGCAGTTTCCTGCTTACTTCATTCTCAGAAGACAGACCAGCCCTCAGTCTCTGACAGCGCCTCAGCTCCCACACAGCTGCTCAATCTGTCTTGCTGTCTGGGAGGGGGAGACGCCCCCCCCCCACACACACACACACACTCCCTGTCCCCTCCACATGCACACCCAATGGGAGCCCTGGGGGTGCGGAACTCTCCCGCGCCATCGAGGGGGAGAAACTGAGGGCTGGGGCCTTGTGGGAGGGAAGGGGGATGGATGTCCCAGAGGCAGTCGGGGCACTAAGAATAGTCTGGGAGGCAGTGCCCTCTGACCCTAGCTCAGGCAGGAGGCCCCGCACAGAAGCTGCGCTGTTAGTGCAGATACTGCCTTGTTTGTTCTGCAGCCGCGGGAAATGCTTAAGGGCTGAGATCATGCTGCTCTGTGGCCGAAGCCTAGTGGGGCCCTCCATGGGCTTAGAGCTACTCCACTGCCCGATGCTGACCAGGCTGGTCAGGGACCGTGTAACTGGGGCAGTTTCCTGTCTGCAGAGCCCCACCCACACTGCCACTCAATGTGGGCTCCCGGGAGAGGGTTCTAGGTCAGTGACCCCACAGTCCCAGGGGACAATAGAGAAGGGGAGGCCTAAGACTGCTATTGCCCCCGTCCTCTGCCACCTTTCTCCACCAGGCATTCAGGTCAACCATCATCTTCTGCTCTAGCCCTATCTCTGGCCTCTGCTTCCTGGGGGCCCCATTCCTTCCCACCAGGAACCTATCATGGGGCAGGGACCAAAGAGGCAGGGCAAGCACATACTTGGAGAGAAGGATGATGCAGTTCTGAGCCCTCCGGCCATCAATAACTGACAGCTCTTTGACCTTGCGGGAGGCCAAGTAGATGTCCTCGGTAGAGCCCAACTCTTTCTGCAACCAACAAGCCAATGAGAAAGGTTGAGATGTGTGTTTTCCCCAGTCCTCTTCTTGTCCTCCCCTCCCCCCAGGAGCCACCTCCCTACCAACCAGGGAGTACACCTGGTGTGAGAGGAAGAAAGGTAAAGAAAAAGACAGGAGAGGGAGAGGAGGGTAGTGAATATCTGACTCCAATAGGAGTCATCTGGGACTTTACCATGAGCTAGATAGAATAGGTTGGGGCAAAGCAATGAGGAACCCCCTTCTTAAGACTTCCCTCTTTGGGCAAACTAAACAAGGAACTATTCCTATGAAGGGGAGTGACTGACCCCTATGGCTTTAGGCAATGTGCTGTGGTCTACCAAGTCCCTAGAGAATCAACTCCCATGGCTACCACCCTGCCCAAGAGCCTCCCTAAGCTTATGATAGGAAGCTGGTTCTAAGCCCCCATAGGGCCACAGTGTCTGGACTCCTGGGGACTGTAAGTACAGCCCGGTGCACCCCAGGTAGAAGGCATCCACGTGGTCAGAGGTGGGGAAGCTGAGGCAGAATTCCATATAGAATTCTCTCCTCTGGGGTTCCAGCAGGCATATTCCCAAGAAATCAAAGATTCCGCCCATCTTCTCTTGGGCCCCTGGTGAGGTAGACAGGCCACTTCTTACTCTGGGAGGTCCCTCCAAGCACATGTGCCATGTGGTACAACTGCAGGGGCCACCGCTCATAGCATTATCTATGTGAACTGTGCCCCAGGAATTGTGCAGTGCCCAGCCTGCACCGTCTTACCAG